GGTGGGGCTGCTGGGGGAGCTGCTGGTGGAGCCAGACCTTTCATCCATCCCACACCATCCCTGGGATCGTGGAGGGGAAGGACCTTGAAGTTCATCAAACCCAAACGTTCCCAAGGCCGTGAGGAGGGACCATCCCAGGAGGGACCCTCAGAGCCAGAAAGCAGGAAGGTCTTTTGCCATCACTCACTGGTGGGGACCTTCTGGAGGAGCCAGCTCACAAAAGAACTTGGGTTCAACTCCCCAACGTGTCCATCCCAGTCCAACAAGAGCCAGGACCTCCATGGACATTGGGCTTCTCCATCCCCAAAGGGTTTTCTTCTCCTTTCGGAGCACGGAATGGCCAGGGAACTGGTTGTACTGGGAGCAGGGAGGTTTCCCAGTTGTCTCCACTCACACTCATCCCACTCTTGGCATTTTTTTTTCAGCTCTCAAGGCCTGAATTCACATGTTTTTGGGGGGTCACTTCTGAGCTCCTGCCCACAAGTGGAGGAAGTTTGGGGGTCGTTGCCTTCCCTGGCCACCAACCTTCTGCATTTTTGCTCTTCCAGACCCGCTGCTGGTGGGGCTGCTGGGGGAGCTGCTGGTGGAGCCAGACCTTTCATCCATCCCACACCATCCCTGGGATCGTGGAGGGGAAGGACCTTGAAGTTCATCAAACCCAAACGTTCCCAAGGCCGTGAGGAGGGACCATCCCAGGAGGGACCCTCAGAGCCAGAAAGCAGGAAGGTCTTTTGCCATCACTCACTGGTGGGGACCTTCTGGAGGAGCCAGCTCACAAAAGAACTTGGGTTCAACTCCCCAACGTGTCCATCCCAGTCCAACAAGAGCCAGGACCTCCATGGACATTGGGCTTCTCCATCCCCAAAGGGTTTTCTTCTCCTTTCGGAGCACGGAATGGCCAGGGAACTGGTTGTACTGGGAGCAGGGAGGTTTCCCAGTTGTCTCCACTCACACTCATCCCACTCTTGGCATTTTTTTTTCAGCTCTCAAGGCCTGAATTCACATGTTTTTGGGGGGTCACTTCTGAGCTCCTGCCCACGAGTGGAGGAAGTTTGGGGGTCGTTGCCTTCCCTGGCCACCAACCTTCTGCATTTTTGCTCTTCCAGACCCCCCTTTTGGACACTGAAACCACCCTGGACTATGGGCACAGCCTTACCCAGGTGGGTGGGCTGGGAAAGGTGGGACGTGGTGGCTGGGAAGGGTTGGGGGGGAACTGGAACATCCCCCCCTGTTTTGGGGTCCTCAGCTCCGGGCTGGTTGGTGGATGTTCTGAGAAATGGGTGTTGGAGGCACCTTGGGCAGGGGGTTGGTGGCAACACTGAGCACGTGAGGTGCCATCACAGGCAGGACCACCCCCCCTGAATGGTCCCTTTCCACCCCTAAGGCGTCCTCAGAGAAGATCTGGAGAGCTGGGAAGTTGCTCTTCACCCACCTCACCAGCACCTGTCCCAGCCTCATCAGGGACCACAAGCACCACCTCAGGCACCACAGGTGGGACAACCAGCACCTTTGCCACCATGGAGACCCCAGGATCCCCCCCCCCCGAGGAGGGAAGGACCTGGCTGGGGTTCTTCTGGGGGGCTGAAGGCCTGTTTGGGGGGGGGGGGTGGTTTGTGGCTGCCCCCCCCCCCCCCCCCCCCTTGCAGGCAGTGCTGCTCTGGGAAGGAGCTGGTGGACTGGTTGTTGAGCACTGGGTTGGGTGTCCAGAGTCGTGGCCAAGCTGTGGGCATCTGCCAGGTCCTGGTGGATGGAGGGGTCCTGACCCACGGTGAGGACTGGTGGGGGCAGCTCAACCCCATGGTGGGGTCCTGCAGGGGGAGGGTGGGAGATGCTGGGGTCTCCCGTGGGTTCCCCAAGGGGGGGGTGGGAGGTGCTGGGGTCTCCTGTGGGTTCCCCCAGGGGATGCTGGGGGCTCCTC